TGTCTCATCAAAGTGTGCATGTCGAGTAATATAAGCAAGAGTAGATGATGGATCCAGACATTTAAAACTTTGTATTGGGAGTGACATCCAATAAAAAATATAGGGAATACTCCTTATGGGAAGCTTGTGTATGGAATAATCTCTTATAAGGGTAAACTTGACATCCAAAAGTACGGAGTTTCCATAATTCGGTATATGTGAGTAAAGAAGATGAAAAGGAGAATTAGCGTCTAGAACTTTTGTAGGTAATCGATTGATAATAACGACAACAAACATAAACATCAACCAAATAAGAGGCAAGAACATGCACATGAAATAGCATGGGTAAAACCAGTTTCAACAATGTGTCAATGCTTGCGTTCAAGACACCACCCATTTTGTTGGGTGTGTAGGGGAAAGATAGGCGATGAAAAGTACCATTGTATTCAAAGATCTTGCAACCGTGTGATTAACAAATTCAGTTCCACCATCACTTTGAAATACCTGAATTTTCTATAAAATTATGTCTAAACAGTTAATAAAAGCATTTAAGACTACATAAAAACTAGACTTGGTTTTTTAATGGATAGAACCATGTAAAGCGAGAGTAATCATTACAAAGATTACATAATATAGATAACCATTTGACAAACATGTGTAGGCCCCCATAAATTACCAATGAATCATATAAAGGGTAATAATGTTTAGTATTTAATTCAAAAATAATCTTTGTCCTTAGAAAGCTGATAAGGTTTGCAAATAGTAGGTTTCGGTAAAACAAAAGAAATGTAAAACACCCACTTGTTCAAAACAGAAATTACATCAAAAGAATGTGTCCTAATCAATTATGCCATAATTCAAAGGAAGCTTTCCTAGGTGCACGAGAAAACCAGTTACAGTTGTTGGGCCATCTCGACGAACGTAGAGTCCGTCTTCACATATACCTGTGCTATCACTTTTTTGGTTCCCTATCCTAAATAGTAAAAAAAGTTGAGAAAAGTGAACATCAACATGATGATACATAGTGAATTTTACTAACAAATAGATGATTCTTCATGAGCTTTGGAATGACCAATACCTCACATAATTCGAGTTTATTAGAAATAAGAGAACGACCCATATGAGAAATAGGAAGGGTTGCACCATTACAAAATGTGACTTGCATATTACCTGAATAAGGAGTCAAGGAGGAGATGGTTTCTAGTGAGGGTGTCATGTGTCTAGTAGCTCCTGAGTCCACATAACAATCTGGTTTCTCTGAGTAACATGCCATTGGAATGAAAAGTTTT